CAATTCTTTGAAGATACCTAAATATAATTCTTTTGAATTCCTTATCAGGGAGTTCCAATGCTGTGTCTTTCTCAGGGATGTGTTTTGGGTCTGTATCCTGGTCCCTTGTTTCTCCTGCTTTATCTTGCTTCTTTGCGTGGACTGTGATGCTCTGTTGTCTCTGAGGCATTGTGATGTTTTTCTGTTTATATTTAATTGGTGATTATATGTTGAAGTGACTTGCCCACAATTTTCGTTTTCTTTATTTTGTCTATATGTTTTCTATACAGGCAGGGTACTGTGCTGTGCTCCTCTATTCACTAGTTGACAGCACTTATACACTCACCACCTGTCTCCTTTCCTTTGTCAGCATCTCGTATGTCCTTGCCAACCCTGGAATCCAAATGAGAATGCTATCATTTTAAAATCCAAATGGTTGCCACTTGTAAACATTCAAAATGGCTGTACCCTCAGTCAGTTTAAATATCCAAAATGGCCGCCACTTGTAAACATTCAAAATGGCTGTGCCCTCAGTCACTTTAAATAACCAAAATGTCAACCGCTTATAAACATTCAAAATGGCTGCACCCTCAGTCACTTTAAATATCCAAAATGGCTGCCATGTGTAAACAGTCAAAATGGCTGTGCCCTCCAGACAGCAGAAAGTCCACAACTCAGCTTGTCTCCCTCCTTGCTGTTTCCCTTCCTAGTCATAGGTCACCAGAGCAGTTGTCCCTGCAGCCCTTGGTGACTGGGACTGATCTTTAGGTCAATTCTCAGGTCCCAACACAACTTGGAAATATTCAGGCTGATGGTCTCGTCAGAGTAGCTGACAGTCTGCAGCTCCGACCGTCTCTGTACTCACTGTTTTCATTCAGGTTTTTCTACTAGTTGGTGCCTAATCCACTTCTGTGTAGTTCCTTTCAAAGCTCAGGATTATCTTCTGTATCTCTGTCAATTGTTTTTTCTTTTCTTTGTTGAAGAGGGTCTGTGTTGCTTGTCTGCCTATTCCTCCATCTTACCAGAAGTCACCTACACTTATATAAACTTTTACTTTCAGGAAAAAGTGATTTTTAGTAGAAATTCAAAGTTTATATTTGAATTAAAAGTTCAAAACACTAAATACTAATAAGAACTAGTCCAGGTTCCTTATATTGTTTGTAAATATTAATAGACAAGAGTTTCAAGTCTATACATTTTAAAATTAAATATAAAATCACTAAAGAAAAGAGGTTAACCAGGGATAGGACAGGAGAGGAGGAAAAACTGCTAGACAGATAAGACACAAGTACTGATGTGGGTGAAGGGAAAGGCAATATACTAAATTGAGTGACCAACACAGTAACACTAAGGAAAAAGAAGACATAGGGAGGTGCACAAGAGGTGCAGACAACAAAGATAAACATTTTTACATATACAATACTGCATTATCAGTGATAACAAACATTAATCTACGGGTAAACAGATGGGTACACAGGCTGGATGATCAGGTATGTCTGGGCAAAAGGGAATATACCCATGACCATATATATAACGTTGGCAGACGACATTTCTACATACGGATTTGTATGTGCTGTAAGGATATCCATGTAAATAGAATGAACAGGGAGCAAAGCTTGATAACTTCTTAGCCACAAACAAACACCCTGATAGAGCAAGCTGTTGGACCTGTGAGCTCAAGACCATGGTCACAGGGGACATTGAGCTCAATTGGCATAGCATACTACGCATAAACACTATTCTACATCCTATTTTGTTGAGTAGCAACTGGGGTCTTAAAAGCTTGCAAGCAGCCTTCTAGATGCAACAATTGGTCTCTTCTCATCCAGAGCAAAGAAAATAAAGAAAACCAAAGACACATGGAAACAATCAGTCCAAAGGACTAGTGGACCATATGAATCTCAGCCTATCTGACCAAAAGATCATAAGAACTAGATGGTGCACGGCTACCACTGTCAACCACTCAGAAAGGGATCCATTAAGGAGATCTTGAATAAAGTGGGAGAACAAAATGGAACAAAACTCACAATCAAAAAAGACCAGATTTACTGGTCTGATAGAGCCTGGTGAAAATCCCAAGACTATGGCCCTACTTACCCTTCAGGCCTGCAGTTGAATTCACTCCCATGGCTTCCAGCCAAACAACAGACAGGCATATAAGGTGAACATTTACATCAGGTAGATACACTTAGAACAATCAATCACGGGAGAATAGAAGGGCAGTTTTTGCCAAGGGAGATAGCTCAGGGGCCAGGAATGCATAGGAAAGAAGGACAAAGGGGAGAGGTAACTACAGAGAGGAAGTGGGAAGAAAGCTGTTACACTGTGGGGATTGCAGTCCATGTCATGAAACAAAATGTGTATGAACTACTGTATGGAAAATGAATTTGCTCTGTAAACTTCCACCCAAATTATAATAAAATTAAAAAGAAAAAGGGTTAAACCCAGGTACCAAGGAGCTTGGTAAAAACAGCTCTACTCCCAAGGAAAGAAGTGAAAATGTGTGTACACAGAGGTACATATACAAATGTACATACACAAATGAAGACAAAGTAATTATTTTTTCTTCAAAAATAGTACCACTGGAAATAGTTTTAGAAAGAACTGAACAGTTTTATTCAAATAAAGAACTAAAAGATACCACCCTAATGACAGGGACAAAAGCATACAGTGACTTCTGAAGAAATCTCACCCGACTCTGGCTTGACCCACTTTGATCAAGGTCACTTTCCCAAGTCAGTTACAGAAACAGAGAACAATGTACACTTCATGATTAAAAAATTCTTATAATTAAGGAAAAACATCAATTTATTAGAGATGCTTTAAAGTTTAACAGTCAAGAAGTTCCAAAATAAGAAGACTGTGTGTGTAGTTCTGGCAAGATGGCGGACTAGGCAGAAGGACTGCACAGACCCTCTTCAACAAAGAAAAGGGAAACCAATTAACACAGACACAGAAGATAATCTTGGACCCCTGAGCCTTGAAGGGAAG